AATGGTTAAAATATTTTTTGAGGCTTAGCTGTGTCGACTAAATGGCATGCTGATCTATTCCTCATCTATGCACACTTATCCTCGCAGAGTCTTGGGGTGTTGGGGCCTATCTTCAGAATTTGTCAGACAAAAGACAGGCTAAATCCTGGATAGGTCTACAGGCATTTCAATTTAGATTATCCAATTAACCTTCAGGTCTTGAATTTGAACTGTGTAAGGAAGCTGTAGAACTCAGCAAGAACAAGAACGGTGCTAGCAGCTGTTCAATTGTGCAACCTTACAATAAAAAAAAAACAACAATAAAAAAAAACTACTTACCATCACAACATAATGCATGAGATTCATTCCAGGTTTGTTTGCTTTGGTGTCTGCCAATTTCAGGAGAGATGACATGCGGAAGCCAACTGCACTGCCTGCGTAGCCCCCCTGCAAATAAACACAAATCTTCAGGTCAGTAATGCAAAACACAAAGGAAAGTTCTCCAATATATCAAGAGTGCAAATTAACTGCTTACAGCATTCATGTAATTTCCTGTTTTCAGCACCAAGCGAATGACAGAGTGTAAATTATCACACTCCAACAGCTCTAAAAAAGAAATACAGTGTTAGCAGCGAAACTCCAGGGTTTCCAGTCCTAATTTATTAGTCATGTTTATTGTGAAATTAGCTCAAGCAACAATACCTTTTCCAGCTTCTGTGAGAGTACCAATGAATCCTGTTATTTCCTTCATGAGAGTGAAGAATTCCTCCTTAAGCACCAAGCATCTCAGGCGCTCTTCATAACTAACGGACCAGATGTAAACCAACTGTTAGCCAGCCTTGAAAAAGTTCTTTGAACTTTTGAACTGGTTTGTCACATTATAGCAGCACACTTCTACTAATTTTACAAGGATTTTCTGTCATAAACCAACACAAAGTAGTGCATATTTTTAAATTTGCTGTTCATAGAGGTATCGTCTAGCTGCTTACCTGGGCATCTTTATCAGCATTAGCATAAACAGATCAGCTTCAGGGAGGGCTGATGGGTCACCTTTAAAACCGACCAACTGCTTCATCTGAATAAATGAAAAATAAAGCACAAGTATTCAAACCAAGTCATTTGTTTTCCCATTGGTATACCTTTATTAAAACTGTGCAAAATTAATCAAAACAAATTAAAATAAATACCTCCCCCTCATCTGGCAGCAACTTGCACATTTCCCGCAGTTTTCCTGTGCCAAAACCGAGCCCATTTCCCGACTGAATGTCTTGAATCAGATCCTTCACAGGGCTGTGGATGGAGGTGGAAAGATCACCAGTCATAACCAATCAGAGTGTAATTAATGCTTGTGTAGGCCTGTGACTGATGAGCTGTAAGTCCATGTTAAGACCATCCTTTTTGTATGCATGAAAGACTTGAGTTCCTGGCCTTTACAAGCCTCTACCTGTTCAAAATGGTTTGCAAAGACCTAACTTCAATCATAAAGAAGAGAAATGCGGTACAGGGCAAAGAAATGATGGATGAACCTATGTTACAAAAATGCTTATGACATAACAAGCCTTCCACATTTTCTGTTTGCACTGCAGTAGAATAGCCTGTCAGTTTACTTACAGATGTTTTACAGGATAAACAACGATGCAGTTCCATTTCTTGCTGGGGCTGTTGTGGTTGCCAAACAGCCTCTGACAATACATTTACAAGACTTTCATTTACCGATCTGTACTGAATACCACAGGGAGGTCACAAAGCATGGATCAGACCTGTCTGGGCATGTTGTCTTTCAAAGGCTTGTAAGCGTCATGTAGCCATGTCAAGCACAAATTTATCTGTCTCATCGTGTTGTTTTTACCCTCGGTATGAAGAAATTGTTGAGCAAAAACACTTACACCCTAAAAGCACAGCCACTGACTCACCGCTTGAACTGCTTCAGGAATATTCCAATGTTCATGCTCCTTTTGGCGCCGAGGATGGTAACCTGGAGATGGAAACAGACAAAGACACGGCAAACAATCAGTCGAGTCAGTTGTTAAGATAATTTCACTATTGGCTTGAGAAGCATCTTTTTCTATCACATACATCTCTGCGTTCCAAAAAAAGGACGACCGATTCCAAAGGTTAAGGTTTCTCTGAGTTGTTTCTATTGAACAGTCTGAGTAAAGATAGCCTTGTATTCTGAAACAACGTTTACTTAAGGTTCTATTCCAAGCAGCTACATTTTAGTCCATTTTATACAACAAACCTAGAATCCTTCAAATCTGCTTGATTATCTATAGACAGAGGAAATGTATGGCATAAGGTGGTCACTGTAGGATCTACTAAAGAGACAATTATTTCTTCCTTTGGCAAACATGATCAATAGGGAGACTCCACCCTTGTACTGAGTGATCCTACAGCCATACACAATGTTCCTAAGATACTGTTTTCTAAACTTACTTCAATTCATGGTAACAGCTAAAAGGCTTCAAAAATATGTTTTTAATCCTCATTTATTTTAACAAACTAAATAAGAGATAACTTCATGATCAATAGGGAGACTCCACCCTTGTACTGAGTGATCCTACAGCCATACACAATGTTCCTAAGATACTGTTTTCTAAGCTGACTTCAATTCATGGAAACAGCTAAAAGGCTTCAAAAATATGTTTTTAATCCTCATTTAACAAACTAAATAAGAGATAACTTCTATCCATTTCTAATGAATAATTCCCAGCACATGAGGCTGTAAGAATCTGAAGGGATGTTTTCTGTTTATCTCACATGTAAGCCAAGGGGGAGAAAGAAAATCAATTGGGGTCAAAGGAACAAATTTTCATGTCTAAGTGTTTCACCACAACAAAATTCCCAACATTTTAATGTATGGCTTCAATCCCTTGACCTCCAGTTTCTAAATGAGAACTTATCTAGCAGAACACCATATGGGTAAACTCACCATCTCTCCTCCAGTGCCAGAAGGTAGCTGCCCCCTCACACTTAAGCGGTTCAGGGCCTTTGGATGTTGCTGACCGTGGTTGTGGCTAAACAACTCCTCCATGTGATCAGTGTCCAGCTCATACTGGCCATCAGTCTTATCTGATGTCCATATGTTGTGCTTTCCAATCACGCTGTGTTTGGGAAGAGCTTCCCAGTTAAAATTGCGCATCCTGGACCGCCGGCGGTCTCCCCAATCCATGAGGCCACCTCCATGCTGGGGAAGTCCAGGAGCTGGAGGTGGTGGTGGTGGAGGAGGTGGTGGTAGCGGTGGAGGAGGTGGTGGTGGAGCGGGGGGATTCACTGCTTGCATCTTTGAGGGTCTCAGCAGGTTTAGGGAGCCTTAATGATCCTGGTTCAACACATACATGATGTTATCTTATGTAGTACAATTGATTTAAGACTTGTTCCAAAACAGGAAAGCTGAGCTGAAACTGAATATAGAGCTGATTTATAGCTATTAAAATAATAATAAAAAAAATCACTTAATCTTTAGTTTTCTTCCAATACATTTAATATTAATTACAATAACACAACTCTACTCCAAGAGGTCCCGTAGCATAAAATAAGTGATACTGCAGTTTGCGCAGAGACTTTATTCTCTTATCTACATGTTTTTTGGAAAGAGAACACATGATCATGCTTCAAATAGACAAGATTGCGTTTTTGTTCGAAAACGAAAATATTCAATACAGTCTTTTTACAAACTTTTCTCTGCATATTTCCGTTATCATAACTTTGGTAGGCGATTTAAAAAGTAAATCAAAGAACTTACATGTTTAGTGCCTATATGAAGCAGTTCCATTATCCGTCCTTGTGGTCCTCCTGTTGAATCCTAAGGAGCACGAGTTGCATTAACTTGGATAAGGCGAGGAGAGTTTCGAAATGTACTGCGTGTTTGACGACACGCCTAGGTAAGTCACTTCCATGATATCCCACGCCTTCCCGGCACAGCTAAGTCTGGCGATTAGCCCGAAGTTGCAGTTGTTTTGGACATGGCGGCAGGAGTCGGCTGTTCTCTCTGACCAGCAGCCCGTGCGCAGCTCATGTGAGCAGACCGCTGGATTCCGGCTGCCTGATAGGTGTCCTGTCTGAATTCCTATTGATTTAGTGAATTTTTGAACGATTATGCACCGCTGAGGTAAAGTCACAAGCTGTGAAAGTAAAAAACAAAGTTCTTATTTTTTTTTTTTTTTTGTATTTACCATTTTCGCTTTCTTTGCTGTTTAGCTCTTTAATTCCCTTTCTTTCTCTTCTCTTTGTTTTACACGAAAGGTTTAAAATTATGACTCACACGTGACCTCAGTAAAATTACAAATGAATTACCTGTGATTAATCAAAAACTTTTTGTTTGTTTGTCTGAGTTCACTTTCACTAGCCTCACCCAGGTGATTGCTGTTAGACCCAGTGGCGGTTCTAGACTATATTTGGTTGGGGTGGCTAAGGTGGGGCCAGTGGTTTTTTTTTTTTTTTTTTAATTCATTTTACTATTATTATTTCAATGGTGGCATAGTACAAAAGGATGTCAAACTTCAATATTTTGTTATATAATATATTACTATATATTACTTGCAACTTTGGAGCTGCAAATTCTCAATTTGTCTAAAGCTAAAAGTACAACACCTTAACTTTTAATTTGTTGCTAAAGCAGGAGTATTATGTTAATGTTTTTAACATATCATGTTACAATGTGATTCCCTCATCAAAAGCAACATAGTGTTGCTTTGATTTCCCCATGGTACGTTTGAGAAATCCTTTAATCTCCCATGGCAGCCATTTGGAGGTGCTTAAATGCTGATACAAAGTGCTGCTTTTCCCACAATGCTCCTCTCATCTACAACCGCCCATATGGTTCTGCAGAAATTCAACAGATAAGAAACAAAGTCACCGACATTCATCACTCTGAAACTATGAATTTGGGACTCCAGTGAACAGTAGTGAGAGTTATAACCCACAAGTGAAAATACATTTGTTTCATATGAAAACATAATACATAGTAAGCTTTAGTTCTGAAGAAATCTGAATGCAACAATAATAGATAACCACAAAGTTCAATGAAACTTATAACATCCAGCACTTTATTGGAAATGCAGACAGAGGAAAAATACAACCAGCCAACTACAACCTTAGAGAACCCTCAGTATTATACACATATGTTACAAACAGGTGAATAAATAAAATATGAAAAAAGGTACGATCTACATTCCATCTTGGAAGGGACACTGACCTTTGTTTTTAAACTAAAGTGCATTCATTATTAGGGGTTTACTGTTTATGTTCTATAGTTTGAGACTTTAAGAACAAGTCTCGCATCCTGTTCATAGCTTTACAGTCACCTGCTATTATACCAGTCAAAAATTGACTTGGCTGAAATTGATTATTTTTTAGTCTATGTAACTGAAATATATGCATTTACTGACAAAGGATCAAACAAATGCACTGATGTGGAATATGACAAAACACACTAGGGTAAAGAAAGTTTGTTTTAAAAAAGAAAAAAAGAAAGAAAGAAGCCTGTAGTGTTGCTGCGCTCATTACAGCATAGTGTATCTGGGGATAATCAAAAAATTAGAAGACCAAAGTGATAATGACTGTTTATCAGAGTAAAGAAAAAAAGTAATTTCATTGCAAATATTAGTTCATTGTACAATGACCCTTCTGGAAGGTATTTCACAAAGTGACAGGAGAAACACGATAGGTTAATTTGAAGAACATGATTTAGAAAATAAATACCATTTAAAGATGATATGTCATAACGTTATGTACACCATCTCAGGGATGTGATGTGCTGCTCCAACTTGTAGACTTCCTCAAATTTAATATACACCAACATGTTACATGTATCTTTAGGTAAAAATTAAAAATAATGTGCAAAACTGCCCGAGGGAACCTCCATACTAAACTACAACCTTGAACATAAATAAGTGACATGTCTGAAAATGATTGTGCCAACTATAAGAATAGCAAAATAAGAGGTTTGCAATGTAACAAAAAGAAAAAAAGAATATTTTCATCTATGTCATAAATGATACTAAAAAAACATTACAAAAAGGTTTTTAATCTGGGTCCTAATCATTTAATATATATCCTTCGAACCACTCATCTGTTGCGTCACTGAAAATGTCAAGAAGCAGATGAACTTTGTGTGTCCATTACTGCTCCTCCAGCCAGGAAGGCTTGTCTGACCCTGGAGGCTTTAACTTTACATTGAACTGTATTAGAGTTTGTTCCAACTGCTGCTGGTTGCCAGCAAAGTAAGCTGAGATTGCATTATGGAAGAGAAGCAGCTGCTTGTGCATCACCTTCACCTAGGAAAAAACAAATGAGAAGGAGCATTAAGTTATTGCAAACAAAATGGAAAAAGGAATATTTAAAAATTCAGAGAGAAACAGTCCTTTAAACTTTCTCATGTCATGTTCTATGAGAAGCACAGACTGTAATATATATTAGTGTGATTTTATGACAGCCCAGTGCAAAATAGTGCAAAAAGTGAAGTCAAAGTGGTAAGATTTTCCCCTGATCTGTCTCATGTGTTCTTTGGTCTTCATGGTGTTCACTAACGTCTGACAAACTAATAAAGTTAGGTTAAGTTATGTTGTAACTAAGGGGACTGGATTTATAGTGGGACTAAATCACACACTGGTGGACGGACTCCATGTAATAATTAGATGACTTCTGAAAACAATGGTTGTGTTGGATTTTACAAGGCAGAGAAAAGGGGGCATGGGCTAAACAGAGTTTCTGAATGTTCCACCAAGTAAAATTTAAGATTTTTTAAAGAACATTAGGACAATAAATGTAAGCCCTATATCACGACCAATGTTTAAAAGAAACTTTTTCTTTTCAGGGGACTAAAAGTGTGGAATCTTTTTGTGGCTCTTGGCATGGGCTTTGTGCTTCTCACGTGGCATATGGCTCTCTACAGCCTTAACCCCTGTAGTGCCAAGCTTCTTTTACACAAATCACAGTGATACAGCTCTCTCCATTCTTCACATTATTTGTTTAAACTGTTTACTCAGTTTTGCCATTATGTTGTGTCTCTCGTTTCTTTATTTCTCTTTGTTGGTTTTTTGTTTAGTTTTTTTTTTTTTTTGCCTCTCAAGCGCTTTGTCTTACACTAGGCTGCTTTTTTAATACTCAGCATTATTACAACCAACTAATTTCCAAGTGACATTTGAAAGCAGCACCTTATTCTTCTCCTTGGTTTGCTAGTTTCGGCTTAAACACCACATCAAGCATCAGTGATCTCAGAGTTTGGGTGTGGTCACATTTGTGCCCCTGCGTATGTGTAACCACATCCAACAGTGATGTCATGGCATAATCACTGAAGCATGGCGAGCTTGCAATGACTTACATAAAATTGATCAAATTCCTATACAAAGACTTTTATAAGAATTGAAAATGGAATGTTTTCAAGGTGGAGTAAAGGCTTTGTTCAAATGCAAGTAATAATCAACAGTGTGTATATTTGGAAACTGGTGTAGCCCAACTAAGTGTTGGAACCATCAATGCATTTATTGGACAAAAATGATAAAAAGAGAAACTGCACAAATTGTTAATTTCCTAGAATTTATCACAACGTGTAATTACTAATACTGGGACTTTGATGCGTTAATTTTGATATTTTAGATAGATTTTAATTTGTTAAAAAAAAAGTTATTTCAATCAATTGCGTTTATTTTATTTATTATTTTTACCAACAAATAGTTACATGAATGATCAGGGGTCCTGAAACACTTGAAAGCTAAATTGGTATAACAGCACTTTGCACCAATCGGCTGGTTGAAAAACCAAAATAAATTAAAAACAACAAACATCTTTGTTGTTGAGCTCATGTCTCTTTATCCAGTAATTTACAGTCAAAAAGGGTTTTTGAATCTAAAATGTTGCTTATTTTGTTGATGCATAGTTTTCAATTAGAGTGTGACTAATTACAGACCTCGAAATCAACTCATTTAAAGATTTTATTTGAGTCCCACCACTAGTAATAGCTGGAGTTATTATGATAGAAAATAAAATGGGAAGATGCATAAATCTGCAAAGCAAACCTTATTTTCCTCCAGAAATTTAAGTTTGATGGACACATCACTACGAAGCCGCTCATATTTCTCTCTGTGGGTGTGGTACTCCTGCTGAGCCATCTCAATGCGAACCATAGCAGCTGCATCCCTTGGACCCAAGCTTAGCTCCTCCAGATCAGAGCGATAGGCATCGAATTCAAGTCTGCACGCATGACAGAAAGAACAGAAACAGATAAAACTTTATCCATGCTTTCCCCTTGCAAATATTTTAATAATATCACTAATCTCTCATGTAAAGTGTCAACACTTTATACCTTGCATTTTCATAATGTCTGATTGTCAACAGAGTATCCTCCATGGTTTTATTGACCAGGGTGTTCACGCTGGACACAAAGAAATTGATGGCACCCAGCAAAGCCTCACCATTCTTGCACAGCAGCTTTTGTGTTTCTGCATTATACCCAAATTCATCCTGCAGGGATACACACAAGTTTTAATCGGCTGTTTGAGACCATCCGACGTGGACATTGAGTCATCGGTGCACCTGTAACTCGGGGGACTTCTGACTCAGGTCTGTGAATGTATCCCCAAGAGCCTGCTGCGTTTGCACCATGCTTTGGAAATGAGTGATGAGCGCAGTCGCCAGTCTTAGGATGTTTTCGTATTTGCTCTTGGTGTCCCTCAAAACATCGATCTGGGCTTCCAATTCCAAGTCCACCGTTCGAGAGCCTCTGCCGAACTTCTCTGAGAACATCTGCTTTGTACACTGAAACCGCCACAAAGATAATATAGGTTTATTCCTAACAAGATGACCAGTTAACATTACTTTCATTTCAGTAATCCACTACAAAAAGGGAATCTCATGCAGATTCATTGCAAAGAGCATAAATAATTTGTAGCTGTGATTGGAGTCAGTGATTCATGGGCCACCACTGGCATAGTCCTTGGGCTAGGCCACTCCTAAGTCAGGGACAACATCCAATGTCTCAAACTCAGGAGAAAAAGGAAAAAAAAAAAGAAATCCAAAGTCCTCTTCGCATATGAAACCAACGTTTGTTTTTAATTTAGAAACCAAGGCCCCGGAGTTTGGATGAAGAGTGGAGAGATACTAAATCAAGGTTTGATGAGGTCTAGTTTGAGGTTTTCCACAGTCAGACCTATGTGGAGCCATGTCAATTGCTGGCATTGGTCCACAATGTGTTATCAAGTAAAAAGTCAGTCCAGCCGTCTGCCAGGGAATTTTAGAGTACTTCATGCTTCCTTTCATGGATTATTCATCTGTCATGAGGAAGATGAGAGACAGCAGAACCAAACAATGCAGATGAGCTGAAGACTGATATTTATCCATACTGGGTTTACTCCATACCTCATCAGAACCATGACATGCTGCACTGATAAAATGCAAAAGGAGCCCTAACCATGTACTGAGTGCATATACTGTGCAGTACATGGACATACAGTTTAGCATGCAAATGTTTTCTACAGTTTAAACATGTAGCACACAACTGGCATTACCTTGTACGTATTAATGCCCCATTTCTTTACACTGTCCAGTTTCTCCACTGCCACACCACGAGAAACTTCTTCAGTTGAATTAGTGTTATGATTCAGTGACCCTTAGATGAAAAAAAAAAAAAGGAAGAAAGAAATATTGAGTATACTTTGGGACATTGTACTTTTTCTTTTAATTTGCAGGGTGGTGGTATATTTGATGGATCATGACAATAAGCGAGAATAAGATGGAGATAGTGAGGAGCTGGGTGATACCTGGATGCTGGTTTGTGTGATGAGCTAGTCGACTGGCTGAAGCATTACTATAAGGCAGGTTAACACCCCTGGATTTCATGCGAATGTCTGAAATGAGCATGGTGGCGATGAAAAGCAGGAATGAGAAAAGGTCACAGATAATGAGGAAGCTTATGCACAGGAACTTGATAGTGAAATAACAAGCTGAAGGAACATATAGAAACTGGTTTTGGTGAAGATGGTGTTGCAAGTGAGTTTGAAGACATAACAGTCCACAATGCAGGTTTTTCATGCAAAAATAAAAGTCACTAAAAAAAAGATAAGAAAATGCACAATATTAGGGTCACAATGAAAGTGCAGCGCAACAACAAAACAGTCATCCAAAGCTCATTTTACAGCCCACAGGAGTAAACTGGACATGAGGTCAACATTTTAAGAGACAAAACAGTAATATCACGTTAGTACGTCCCTAATTCTGAAGGTTGCAATACAGTCGTGTTTACCAATGCTGTGAGTCAATAGATACGAGCAAAGTTGCATACAATCCTTTTAGTCAAGCAATACAAAAACTCTTAAAGAAGGTCACAAATCCCAACATATAAAAGGTTTAATTAAGAAAAGTTGTCATTAGAACACACAGCCACCTAGTCCTGGTGCAGGGGCCCGTCCTCTGTCCAGATACTCAGGGTTGTAGCGAACTCCAGGCCCTAAGGAATATGATGTTTGGAACATGAACCAGCAGCCTAGAGGTCACGAGTTCCTTAGAGGCACAATAATATATGAGGAGGAAGCGTTCTAGCTCTGCTATGGTTTCCTCAGGGTGCATTACATTAGTGAGCTGCTTGGAGTTCCTTTAAGGCATTCAACAACACTGACAGATCTCTGGCTAAGCTCAGAGCAGCCTGCTTCTGACAAGAGAGTGAAAACAGACGGTGGATGGAACAGTGTGCTACTTCAAATCATCTCTGTCTTGGAAAAGTACATAGAGTAAATTTTTTTTTTAAACAACGAGATATGAAATGGTAACTAATAGTGCATCGTCAAATATGAGCTTTTAAAAGAAACAAAAGTCGTCAAAATGAAGAAAAAAAGACAACGCGTTTGACCTCCCGATAATACCTTTGATGGAGCTTGTTGGAATGATGCCCCCAGCCGGTCCTCCATAGCCTCCTGACACGATACTGGTTTCATTCAGGTTGGGTCCAGACACCATCACCTGCTGCAAATCCTGAGAGATTTACATCCAAAAAGATGTCCGCATATAGGGTTGAAAGGGCCAAAAACATAAAAAAGGCATAAAAAAAGAAAATGCATACGATCCTCCACACACTGTTTTTCAGCCAGCTTCACTAAACGGGACATAAATTAGCAATGAGGTACCCTTTTTTGACACCTTGAACAAAATCAAGTTTCATTTCAGTAAAGTAAAAATCAGAAGCAAACAATTTTCTCATGCCTACTTTAGATTCTGTTTGACTAAAACTAAAGAGGAAAGATGAGTGTACTATTTATTTTCTTACTTAAATCACTATGTGCACATTGAAATGCTTATTCACAAATACTAAACTAAACTTGTATGATCTAAGCAGACCTAATCTGAGTCACAATGACAGATACCCTTCTGCTGAAGGGTGACAGAATTATGTTGTGTTTAGCCAATCCTAAGGTTTACACACCCGTTAAAATAACAATTGTTTTAGACATAGAAACAAAGAAGGGAGGCCAGGTTAAGTCATGGTAAAACCTCAACAACTCAGCTACAAAAAAAGGAAAAGAAAAGTCTGTTTGGCCCACTGTTAGGTGCAGCATAATGCACCGGGGGTTCCTTCTGTTAACATTTTGTCAAAGTGGATGACATCATGAACAACTGAAACCCAATACTTCCATGTGGCTGCCAGAGCCTGGAAGATGATGAGGTATTTCATTAACGTGATTTTTCAGCATCAACGTTAAATCCAAATGAACAAAATAACTGCTTAGACAGACAAAAAATGAAGTTCTGGCATAGCTAAAATCAGAGTTTATTACTTCTGGAAGTTTGTTGGGGCAACTAAATGCATAGTCAAGATGTTACATGCAGATAGCTTCCGACTGTAGAATGAATGCAAGTTAAATTAAACATATCTGAACAAAGTCTTAGTTTAAAGGTGCAATGCAACCATGTTGATGTAGCTTTTCTATTTTATTGCTTGCCTAAAATATGTCTGTTTTATTGCACATTATTTTGTCAAATAACAAGGGATGCATATGACTATCATCAATGACTGAAGCACAAAAAATACTCTTTGGTGCCGTCTTGGACAAACAAATCATACGTATTCCATGCACATGTTCTTAACCAGCTGCTAATCTTAAACGTGACTTATTAATACTTTCAAAACCCTGCAGGGTTAAGCTAACATTTGGCCTAATCAGTTTAAGACCTAAACACACAGCCAGGTAATATGTAAGAAAACAAAAACACCTCACTGGCATCATGTATTAAAATATTATGAGGTGGAATAAAAGTTGACTCACCTGCTCCAGGCTGTCATCTTCAGTCAGAGTCCCTGTATCCCCATTGCTGTTAATGGGGATCTCCATGGTAGCAGCCTTGCTCATGATATTGTCTGCCATGATGAAATCTCTGCAAGAAACCAACACAGGATGATAAATTGTTTCCACCTTGGCAAAAGCTAATCCCCAAGCTCTTTAAATCCATGCGAAATCAAAACCAGCAGCTCGATAACTCAGATGCTAACGTGTGTGACTGGGAACAGCGGTGCTGATGTGGCTGCCTGCTGCTACCTGACGAGCTAGCTTCCAATCCTCACAACTGTGTGTTGAAAGGCAAATCCAGTCTTTCGAAAAGGAAACAAGTCGCGGTTAAACTGAAAGAAAATGTAAATGTAGAATCAGCTCAACAGAAAAGCGCCATTGTTTTCAACTTAATATCTCCGAGAGCATACATTGTTAATCCTAAATCGTTCACATGATTTTCTGTCTGCACCCATAGAAAATCCCTGCATCTAGCCAGCTAACGGCTTTATTAAAATCCCTTCGAAATAAAAGTCTCCGTTATATTTATTTGATCACGCAGCTCGTTTAAAACATGCACATGAAAAAAAATATGGAGTAAAAACCTGGATTACTCTTTCAAGAGTGTCAGGTGTTGCAAAATAAGAGGAAGGGATCAATAAAGTTAACCAGAAGCCCTTATTGTGAAATGTAATACCCTTTTCATAGCATCACCTCCACCCACAGCTTCATCTTCCACGTAGTACTGTTGACGTAGCCATAGAGCTTTTGCATCAGTTGCAGTTTTATGACAGTCCGCTAGATGTCATTCTAAGTTCGTGTTTATTTTTGTGATGAGGCACTTTTTCTTGGCTGCTTGTCGACTTGTAAATTAGATTGTATTAAATTTTTGTTGAAAACTATTGAATTAAGCTTTAGGATGAATTTACCACCTTTTTCTGTTGACAACATCCCAATAAATTAAAATGTGCAGACAATAATTTATTTTGGGATGTTAACAGTCTGAGAGGCTTGGTAGTAAACTGACCACACTTCTAGATATTTGCCCAATTTATTTTAATCAGGGATGCATGGAAGTTGCACATGGTTTCCAAATGGGGAGGTTTTTCTGTAATTACTCAAGCTCTGAACAGAGAACCATTCCTAATGCACATTAATGCACAAACACACAACAATACGCTGATAGTTTCACTATGGCCGATCTTCCTTAATATACTCTTTTCCTTAACAACTGTTTCCCATTCCCTGCTTCCCTCACAATTATCTAAAAGTGCTTGTTGAGAGCAAATATTTCAGAAAAAAAATTGTCAGATCAAAGCCAATAAAAAATGCCAAATACGAGAAGACAGGGTATTATTGTTTCAGCTCTAATCAACAAATAAGCATGTCAACAGATTTGCAGATTTATGTGAATCTATTATGCTGCTGCCTCTGGTTTTAGCATTTTAATGACAGTTGTTGCCTTTTTACTATTGAAATTATTGGAGCGTCTCATCAAATTTTACCATGTAAATAGAAGAGTGAAAAGCCTGAGGACAGGCCTCAGGCAAGTATAATTCCAACATCATCAATTAATTTCAACTTCTAATCATTGGCCCTGTTTGTTTTGATCAGTTTGTTTCAGTTCTAATCAAGATCTTTCTGACAGTTCAGCAGTCTTTTTGAATAGTGAAAGACTGTTAGACTGTTAAGTCAGGGAGAGAAGAAAAATAGATCCACATCATATTAGGCATTAACAACTGTTTACATATAGGTTATGAAATAAAAATGGGACTATTTGAATTGAAAGAATAGACTTTATTTCAAATTCAAAGTTCAGATCTTCAATAGTTCATTTAGTGTATAAACATAGAAAAATGCACCTTTCAGTACCAAGGAATTTTAATAGATTTTTAATCAGCCCTCTTGAAAGTAGTTTCCTCTGATTCGGCAGTTTAGGGTCAGTGGATTCAAGGTTTTGTACCAACTAGGGAAACAATGCCACTAGAAGAGACATTTTTTTGGTCATCGACCTTCACCTCAGATTCCAACATGGCTGCCTTGTGTTTAAAGGGGGTGTCATTATGTGTTTTCCAAGCACATAGTTACTTGATTGTGCTATAAAATGTTACTATGTGCCTGGAAGGAAAGACATAATACCACCCCTTTAAAAGAAATTTGACTTTGCGGTTTGACGCCTTGAAATTGGCCTTTTTGTCTTTGTCTCTGTGGCGACAGCTCAGCTGGAGACTGCAGCTTCAAGGAGGAGCTTTGGGTAAATAGGTGGTGCTTTGTACTAGCAGGTGTTAGGGCACCTATGGTTGCCACGGTAGATTCAAGGATTCCTTGAATCAAACCAACACTCCAGGTATGTGTTTTGTGATGGAACAATACAACGCCGTGTAAAAAAGTTGGACTTCACATAATACTTTCTCTTTAAAAGGAACAAACACACAGTTTATTTGTACTACTGACAGCTTTTATCACATTTCACATTTTTCTCTTATGCATAGTGCTGTATAGCCACTGTAACTCAGTGTTTTGCACGTTCCTGTTAATTCATATTGGTAGTAGTATTTAGTTTATCACTGACTACAGTGTTGCACAGGATCCTCTGGATGACACAGTTGTAGAATTTGGTAAGCATGTTTAGACTTTTGTCCTTATTTTTTAAGACATTTTTTTTTCTTGTTTCTACCTTAGCCCTCTGATGGCTAAGGTGTGTTGCTTCTCACTCGTTTACTCTTCAAAATCACATCCTCGTCAACATTAAATTGAGAAAGATTTTACTTTCACACTTCTCTGATCCAACTGAACTAAAGGTAAAATATTGGATAGGGTTAGATGATTAAGACTGTGGAAGATAACATTTCTGTCTGCCATTTCTTGGTGTCATTTCAGTTTATTGTTCTGCTTGGTCACCAGGACTTTCATCATTTAATTACACTGCAATATTCTGCCCAAAACCCTCTGGTCTTGACATTCATATGAATGTCACCACATATTCCTTGCAGCCCAGCCTTTTATTAGAGGAACAGCTTTCTATTAAACTCTGAAAACTATTGCCCCTTCATGGCTCAGTTCAGAGACAGAAAATGATCAATTCTGAAATGATATCTCCCATGTGATTTCAGGTAAATGTGTCATATGAAAAGACAACAACTGTTATCCTTTCCTTGAGCAAGTGTTGCAAATGGCTCAAGTGTGTAATTATGATGCTGGGATTAGCCATGGGATTAAAGCACATGAAAGAAAGAACATGCGCACGACTTATTAATGTATGTTGTCTAAAAGTAATACAGAACCTAACTTTTCTTTACTCACTGTGTCATTAATCTGTTAGGATTACCAAAATTATTTATATTTGTTAAATAGCAGAATAATTAAAGAGATTTTTTTAAATCGCTTTCTTCAAATTCAGATTTGTTCTATGAATATTATGCCTGATATAAGGGCCTTATGAGCTGCTGATATTTGAGTGCACAAAACACACCTACCTATATATTTTGCAGGCAACGTTTTAGGCACACCAATTTCCTGCGTGACATCATGACAAAACAAACAAAAAACAAACTCAACAAAGATATCAGTAAAAGAATTATGAACATTCACAATTTCCAGATGCCTGAAGGTGCTATTTTATCTGTTCTTACAGAGATATGCGAATCAATCAAAACATAAAACATTACAGTTTCCAAATGCATTCAGAGACAAGCACCTTTATTTTTGGGAGACATTTCCTACCGTCTTGCCCAAATGATCTTTGTTACAGCTGGAAAAATAAGGGTGACGTTTGCGAATAAGAGGTAAAGTATGAGGATAGGAGCATTATGTTGTGTTTGCCTTTTGCCTCTAGATGGGATTGTGTGGAAAAAAAAAAAAAAGATGGGACCACGAGTAAAGATAATTATGTGGAAACATGTCTTGCAACACCTCAAAGACATCATTGAGGAAGTTAACGCTTTGGCACACGTGTCCTCCAAAAAGACAATGACCTTAAGCACACCATCCATTTAGTTAATGAGTGGCGGAGAGACAGCATTGTTTTGGAGGGGCCATCACAAACCTCTGTTATCAGCTCCTTTGAAAAGCTGGGGGTTGAGCTGTAAAGCTGTTCAAACAGACTGTTATGAGAAGTTTGTGGAGGCTTGTTTGACTTAAAACGTAAAGTTTAAGTCAAAGTCTACAAATGAAATGCCTATAAACTTTTGAGTTTGAGGGAAGTCATTATTCAGGCATTTAGCAATGAAAATCAGCCTCATCATGCTACCTGACACTAAAGAGACTTAGTCTGAATTTCATGCCAGGCAATGTGCAATCTGCAAATTCCTGCAAACAGATTGCTTGGGAGAAATAAGAGAGAAAAATTTACCCTATTTGGTAGCATTTTATTTAAGGGGTGTGCATAAGACTGACATTACACTGTCAAAGCCATGACACAACACCTGTCATGAACATAAAGACTTCTTTATGTTCATGACAGATGTTATGTCATGTTTTTGACAGTGTCATGTCAGTCTTATGCACACCCCTGCAAATAAAGTGTTACCTTTTATTATATGCCTTGAGATTAAATAAATTGTTAGTTTATTGATGCAAAAGCCAGTTTTGGAAGTTCTGAAAGTTTGCAAGCAATGATTCTCACTCTGATCATGGCTTATTCTGAAAGGTGAAAGTACCTTTAAATAGTTTAGATTTTTCATCATCCTCACCTTAAAGAACATCCATCAAAAAAATTTGCTGGAATGACATGAACATAAATCAGAGAACCAAACTACTCACAAGGCTAGATGCCAATAGCGTGTGTGAACTTTTTTTTAAATCAGAGCTTAGAATACATATCATTAAAGTTTTAATCGTAGATTTAGCAGCATTGACATATATTTTAGAAGAGGTACATTTAATGTTTCGTTGTTGAGATTTTGAAAACAATAAAAGCAGCTATTTCACTCATCAGAGCAGAAAGAAAGGAAAATGTGTGCTACACTTTTAAATAAACCTGCACAAGGCTGCAGGTTGAAGAAGTTGCAATTAAGGATAATTAAGACAGAATTTAATTATAAATTCTCTCATAATTAAGCATGCTAAAGTGTTACCCATCACAGATGTAACTTTATAACAGCTGGAGTTTTCAACAAGGGATTATTTGGATAGAAGCATTCATTTCTCACGCAGGAGAATATAAATTTAGTGTTGCCTATAAATTTAGAGCAAGTCCAAATTAAACTTTAAAGAGCACAGGAGAAGTCTCCGCTGAGACCACACTGCTCGTCACAAATGCGGAATATAAAATCGGGGGGCAGGATGGGGGAAGCGTGAGACCTAGGCTGCAGTCTACCCCTCCCTGTGTCATTTTAGAAAATAGTTCATCTTGTTTTTCAGTGATCATTAAGCATGCTTCCAGATGTGGGGAGTGAACCTCATCTTCTCACAGTCGTCTGTTCTCTGTAGCAGAAAACAAGGCTCTGGAAATGGATAGTGAAGCTAAACAGAAAACAATAGAAAGCAATGCGGCTTGCATAAAGACTCCAGTAAA